AAAGGAAATTATATTTCCATAAAATGTTATAAATAACTTTGACTACGTCTTATTAAGTATAATGACAAAATGATCAAAAAAGTTTATCCTTTTCTCATTTAAAACAACATAAAAAATCAATTGAATAAAATCATAAACATCTATAACTCTTAGCAAAATAATTTCCACGTTTAAGAAATAACTTTGCTCAATATCTGCTAGAATATTCTGCGACAAAAGGAACATCTTTAATACTTCAGAACTGCACACGAACAAAAGCTCAAGAAAATGAATGTTAGAAACGTAATTAAACGGATTCCTTTTCTCGTTGGGTAATCAAGGACTGTGATTACTACTACTGATATAAGTACAATAGTTACCATGAAGATTTTCTTAGCATTTTGAATAATCTAGATACCGACAGTGTACATTTCAACCTATTTATTAACTTAGTAAACTTTGAACCACTTATCTCCACACAGCACAATCATTGTTTCTACTACATAATTTAGCGGTAAAAAAACACGTTTTGTCAAAACAACATAAATCAAATGTGACTTAATAAATAATGTAAAGCTACGACTAACGTTTTTTTAATCAACAAGTCTGTAAGTCAACCATAGCTCCATATAAGATTCAATAACAAAATGGCACCAAGTAACCAATGCACACATATTTTTACAATTCTAATTTTAGACAAGAGGCTTAAAACTTAACTAAAACTCAAAAAAATGTGGTAAGGCAATAAATCGTCGTAATAAAAGTTGGTCAAGTGAGGTGGGATCTGTAATAATAATAATATATAGACGCATGTCTCTAGCCTTGTCAAAAGTGAAAGGAAATCACTTTTGTTGACACATTGATATGGACATTGGCGAATACATTAAGGTCGCTGTATACATTGGGCTAGAGTGTTGGGCCAAAATATCAGATTTTATATACACATTGGCGTAATGACCATAGTGCATTGGCGCTTTGATAAAGATGGACGTGGAATCACTTGCAGAAGAGGAAATTATATAGTATGTAAACAATTCTGTTGACGCGCCAAGATCCTTTGATGTGTGCACGGAAAACCGACGTTACCCGATTTTCAGGACAGTATTGTCGCAAACTACCAACATGCCGCCAAGTAACTCTCTACACGTTGGACCAATCGGTTGGCCTAGGACCTTTGCCCATTGGCCTGGCCTTAATATAAATTTCAATTTCGAACTTAGTTTCGTAGAAAATCTAAAACATCCTGGTCACTTGGTGCTACTGTGCCTAAAATTAAGAGACCTAACCAATTAGGTACATTAATGTCACAACATTGCTGATTCATAAAATTAAACTTAATCAATCTAAAGTAAATAATATTAAATGTCAATAGGTGTTGGTTAGATCTCCTTTTGTTATATTATGATATAGCTGTATATTTTATAAGCCTAAAAATAAGAATAATAAATAAGCGCTTATTCATATTTTACCAAATGGTTTTTATTTGTTACTGCTACTCAAAAGTGGTTTAATATTTTAGTGTTATGTTTGTATCGCCACAGGGCTCTAAACAAACAGCTACTCATTCAAGTAGTTACTATAGATTTCACTGAGATATAAGGAACATTGTATCTCGAGTGCCAAATTAAAAAGATTACACATTCACAATTTCTAAATACAAATAAAACAACATAATTGAACTCTAAGAAACAAAAAGTAGTCAATTTTTGGCCCTTTAAGACTTTATAAACAATAAATTGAAAACCTAGTATTTATATAATTAGGAATATATTTATGATTCTGGATCTGTAGATGAGTATGCAGCCGTTTTGCTTGTCTGTAACAATAATGACTCTTTAGTATGCAGTTTTCCAAAGGCCTATTACTTACTTATTTTCCTTTTATACATAATATAATATAATCTTCAGTGTATTTACTTTTCTGACCTTTTACCCAGTCCAAAAATGCTTTGAATTGAAACACTGGCCATACTTGATTGTGATTCTTAGTTTGTAAAGTACGTTTATATATTCCTGTCACAGTTTGAAAGTACTTACAAATAGTGGTAAATAAAATAATATAAACTACGCACCTTGACACTTTCGTAGAACTGTAGAGCACTCTCACTGTCGAAAAAGTTAATTGAGATTGTTTTGTCAACTGGAACACTATCAGTGTAATCTTTGCCAGACCACATACACGTGTCACCCATCATCTGTGGCAAGGCAAAAAAATTGGTATTAATTATTTACTTATATCAACTTCCAAAAAGCTGTCATTGGGTGGCCACAATGTTAAAGAAAGTTTGTTTGATTGATAAAACATAGATTCTTTCATGTAAATCCTTTGAGACGTCGTCCAATGCTGTTTTATCATGTTTGTGGCTTCAAGTGGAAATAACATTAAATCGATGGTTTTAAAGTAACATTACTAATTAAACTAGCGACCCGCTCCAGCTTCGTACATGCGCAATGTAGATACTACTAATACTACTAATGTAGTGTCAGTGTGGAGTAATTAATTATACTATTAGACTATACTTATATTATGGTTTACGCCGGGATAGCTCAGCTGGTGATCTTCTCGTTATCTAACACAACGGTGGCCACAGGCGATCGAGATCAATAAGAGGATTGCGGCTCAGAAGAAGCTTGGATATAGCGAAAGCCTTCGATCGGGTGTGGCATGAGGTGCTTTTCTCATAGCTCGAGTCGAAACAAACTTGTGTCTGAAATTGAAACTTCCTTAACGGAGGTTTCAGATTGGGGTCTTAGTTCTAGTCCATTTTAACCCAATAGAGACACAGGTTTGCGTGCGAGTCGAACTCGTGCGTCGAGGGTTTTCGCGAAAACTTGTAAGTACCAAAATTTACCTTAATTTTCTACTTTTTTGATTTTTTGGAATTATTCCTTTATTTGTGCTGTAAGACGTTTTTTTTTTGTCAAATTTCGTGATTCAAAACCTATAGGGTACTTCCGGTTGACCTAGAATTGTCAATTTTGGTTAAAAGCAAGGTCTTACAGCACAAGTAAAGAGAAAATTCTGAAAAATAAAAAAAGATGAAAATTAAGGTAAATTTTTGTACTTACAAGTATTCGCGAAACTCGAAATTTGCCCATATCTTTTTATCGTGTTGACTCAGGACCTTGATTTTTATTCACCTAATAGGGACCATAGACCTCAGTATCTGGTATAAATTTCAACTTGCTAGGTCTACCTTTTGAGGTACGAAACCCTAAAAATATACCGTTAGTCGTATCGCCTCGGTTTCGAGAGCAGCATCTTAACTGCCTCAGCCACTATCAGAATCCTTTTTTTTTTTTTTCTTTTTTTTACGTGTGGAAATCCCCTCGGACCGTCACCCCGCCGGGGCTCTCGTTCGGCGGGGCGGTGTGTCGGACTTGAACCGACTAAAACCACACGGTGTGCCCTCTTTGCGCTTCCAGTTTAGGAGGGGTCCAGGTAGCTATCTCCTTCTGGACCCCTCCCAGCGCCGTCCCGCTCCTGGTGCGGGCTCCGTCTCAAATTGACCTCTCTTTAGGCGGCGTCCGGCACACGCGGACGTCGCCCCCTGGCGGCTGGCCAAACTAATGCGGGTGGAGGGGAGAACCCATCCCGTCCACCCGCGGCCACACTCAGGGCGGCATGAGGCGCAGGTGAGCGCGCCTCATGCCGCCCTGAGTGCCGGCCCGGTTCGCCGGCGGCGGATCAGGTCCGAGTGGAGGTCGTCCTCCCGGGCCTTCTCCGCCGCCTCCTTCTGCGAGATTACCTCCTCGCAGAAGGTTGCGACCGCGGTAAAACAACTGTCGCTACCGGCCATGGAGCGAATTACGGCCGGTAGCGAGAGATCTGCTCCGATGACTGCAGTAGGGGCCCGGCGCTGCGTCGCCCATGCGGGGCAAACCGCCAGCGTGTGCTGGGCCGAATCCTCACTGCAGTCGCAGTGGTGGCAGGCGGGACTCGATTCCCTCCTAGCGACCGAGTACAGGTACTTTCCGAAGCAACCGTGCCCGGAAAGCACCTGCGTCAGCCGGAAGGAAAGGGTCCCGTGCTGCCGCCCTGCCCACTCGGCGATGACCGGCTGGAGAGCCTCCACGGCGGCGAAGCCAGCGCGTGGAGTCTCCAGCCGGAACGACCATCTGACCATGGTGGCTCGGCGAGCGGCTTCGGTTCGCGCGGGCGGAGGGCGAAATCCGCTCTCCGCCCGGAAGTCAGCCACTCGCCGATAAACTTCGGCGAACACTTCCGCCTCCAAATCCCACGGGGGCCGCAATTCCGGCCAAGGCGCAAGCCGCCTCGGTGGACACCGTGCGGTATCCGCGTATGGCTCTGACCGCCAATATCCTCTGGGGGCGCCAGAGGAGCGCCCTATTAGGGGCGGTCAGAGACGCCACCCACACCGGTGCACCATAAAGCGCCATGGACCGGACAACCCCCGATTACAGCCGCCTCGTGGGAACACTGGCCCCGCCCAAATTGGGCAAAAGTCACCCTAGGGCGGAGGCAGTGTCCACCAGCTTCGGACCAAGCTGTCGGAAGTGCTCGTCGAAGAGCCACCTACCGTCTAGGACCAGACCCAGGTACCTCATCTGGGCCCGCTATCGGAATCCTAGGCTATGCTAGTTTCGCGGTCATTTAGAGGTTAAGGTCAAATTGGCCTCGAAGAAGCTCGGTGTGCTAAACAGGTTTGAGGCAGCGCAGTCCAGCTACGTTTGGAATACTGTTCTCATCTCTATGCAGGGGCACCTCAGTACCAGCTTCTCCCTCTGGACCGTATCCAAAGAAGAGGGACTCGAATCGTCGATAGCCAGAAGATCTCCAACCGGCTAGACCCCTTGGCGACGGAAACCTGCCCTTGGAAACCCGCCTCTTGAATCACTCTCTCTAATGGTGAAAACCGCATCAGAATCTTTTTATAAATTTGCTGTAGTATCCGAATGGTATCCGAATTAGTATGAAAATAATAAATTAGCTTATATATTTATAAAAAGGTTCATAATGAAATCAATGCTTATCTTAATTTTTTACTTATTTGACAAATCTCAGAAGCATACCTCAAATAATGTATCGGTGTAGATAACCATATCAACGAGTATCTCCCCCGTAGCAGAATCTGTGATCAATATCTTGGGTGAGCAGATATCCTGATCGAACACTACTTGAATGTGTGCGAGTGAACATGTCCTTTCTTCATCTTGTTGTCGAATAACTGCTTCACCGTCACACGAATGATATACACATTCTTCATCCTCCTGTGAAAAATTGAATGATGTAGTTTGGGCACTAGCATATGTGTAATAAACACCAACAGTGAGTCAACTCAGCTACTTCAAGAAGCAACGCTGGAGCGCGGTATGAAGGAGAGCGGAGTCTCCCTCCTGCCCGCGATGTCTGCAGTAGTACCGGCCGGCGTTGCTTGCTAACCCGGTACGCCCGTTAAGGAATGTCGCGCGTCAGTTGGACGCGTTTTGTGCCGGACAAGATTACTACAATATTTTTATTATTTTATTAACTCACAGTGGCACTATTATCTCTTTATTAATAATATAAGAGAAAGAGCGTACAATAAAACTCTCGATGAATTTTGTGGTTTAATGTACATTTATCTATAATTACAAAACTGCTTATACGAGTATTACTGTTTTAATCATATATTAATTAATTACATTTGATTTCTTCAGTCAAAAAAGTATCGGGAATGGCTTGTTTATGGTTCCAAATTCAAATTTTTGTTTTTTTTTTGTTATTGTTAGATTGGCACAACTGTTTGAGTTGCATCTGTTATTTATATTAAATACAGTGCTGTTTCTTTTATATCGTATCTAGTGTGTATTGCGAATTTCATAGTGGACAAAAACATCGAACAAAGAGTTTGTCTTAAATTTTGCATCGCCAATGGTATTTAGTGTTCGGAGTCACTGAAAATGTTAGAGAAGGCTTACGGTGAATCGACTTTATCAAAAACAGGTGCTTATGAGTGGTACTAAGCGTTCAAAAGCGTTCGAGATGTGATGGAAGATTTGCCTCGCTCTGGTAGGCCATCAACGTCTGCAACTGAAGTTAACATCGCAAAAATACAAACAAGGATCAACCCGTTAATATACTAGTGGAACTAGAGAATGAACAGGTGCAAAAAACCCGGATCGCTGCTTCTAAATCGTTTAAAATGACTGTAGGTGATATCCATCCTACAGAAAATAATAATAAAAATAAAGTATATATTAGAGAACCCATGACTAAATTCAACAAACAACTATTCTGGAATGCAAAACAGGAGCTTAAAATCAACCAGAGCTTCAAATATGTATGGTTCAAAAGAGGAGTCGTTAGGGCCCGAAAGGAAGATAGTGATAAACCTATTATTGTAAAGTAGTTAGAACAATTACGCTCCCCATCGTCAAACCTGTAAGTTTTCATTGAATTGTTTGCAATTGTTTGTGTGCAATTGTACACAATACACTTTCATTTCTTATGGACAACTGCTTTAATGAGATTACTGAGATCACAGATTGTGTGAATGTAAACGACTTTCTTAACTATTTACCTAATAACACCAACAGTATCAAGCTATTATGCATTCATATTAACATTCGATCCCTAATTAAAAACTTCTCAGCTCGCGAACAATGTACACAGGAGTCCAAGATACTCATTGATGTCATAATTATAACTGACGCTAATTTATCTGAAAGCATTAGCAGTCTTTTTCAAATCGAAGGCTACCGTATGTACGCGGCCCTACGAAACGAACGTCGGGGTGGTGGTATTATCTTATATATAAATAACAAACATAAGTGTAGCATCAAAAGTATAAAAACTATTCACTTCGAAAGTTTATTATGTACTATTACCACCCACTCCAACTATTCCGCGGGTTTGTGTGCAATATACCGTCCCCCGAGAACTAGCAAAAACCTCTTCATCAATGAACTACACACTACACATAATCACTTTCCTAGGTTGAGCGACTTGTATGTGATAGGAGATACTAACATAGACATAAAATCGCATAATCCTGTAATGCATAAATACAAAAACATGTTAAGTGGCGTCGGGCTTCTGTGCGGGATCACTGAATACACTAGAATCGAAATAAGTAACGGATTACTAAGTAAATCATGTATTGACCACATTTTTGCTAGATCCCGTGCACAAGACCTGTATACCGCAGCGCTTGGGACGACACTGGCTGATCATCGTGCCGTTGTTATTGCCTGCGCTGGCTCACAGATACAGGATGCCCCAAAATATAAAACTTGCATAAATAAAAAGTTATTTGACTTATTGGAAGAAGTATCTTGGGATGACGCACATAACGCACATAACACACGCGATTCACTGAGTGCTACGAACAGTCAAATTATAAAATCCCATTTAAAAAATCACCTTCTCGCTGTAATCATGACTGGATTAATAAACGAATAATAAAGGCTTGCGAATACAGAGATAAATTATATAAATCATGGATTAAACAACCTTATGATATGAACCTTAAACTAAACTATAATAAAGCAAGAAATTATGCAAATTATTTAATGCGAAAGGCCAAAAACGACAAAATCAAATCTGACATTATTAACAACAAGAACAACACAAAATACCTCTGGAAAATACTGAACCGATTGACAGGACGAATCAAACAATCTATCGATGGTGTTGTTATCAATGCTTTCAAAAACGTTCGAACACCTGTAAGCATATTGCTAATAATTTTGCGCGAACGTTCGCCAACAACGTTAAAGACGTAATTCCAAATTGCTCGTTACCTCTGCTGAACAAGTCACTCTACAGTAGTACCGCTAATGTAACAATGCGCTTTAAACCAGATAAGTCTCATTGAATTAAAAAAATAGTAATGTCTCTAAATAACAATAAAGCACCTGGAGTAGATGGTATCAAGACTATTGACATTAAAAAAATATCCAAGAGCATAATTTCGGTATTGTGTAACTTAATAAACCTGTCTATAGAAACTGGTAAATATCCTTCCACGTTGAAAACGGGCATTATAAGGCCCATACATAAAAAAGGCAGTCAAACTGACTATGATAATTACAGACCAATAACTATACTACCAACCATAGATAAAATAGTTGAAAAATACATTTGCAAACAAGTCTATGACTTCTATGAAATTAATAATATACTGTCATCAAATCAATATGGCTTTCAGCCTCATAAAAATACAGCACAACTACTGTCAGCTTTCACAGATAGTATATACAACCACCTAGACAAAAAACATCACGTATTGGTCGTATTTATAGACTACAGCAAAGCATTTGACACGCTCAAGCATGACAGGTTAATAGAATGTCTCACTGAGAGTGGTATTAGAGGCAACCTGCTAGAGTGGTGTAGGGACTACTTTTGTGATAGGAAGCTTATGGTCAAAGTTGGTGACGCACTTAGTGAAAAAATCACAGTGAAGGAAGGTACACCTACGTAAATAATCTGAAAAGCCTGATAAAAAACTGCGAAATGTACCAGTTTGCAGACGACACTTGCCTAATCTCCGCGGGAACTAATACCATCGAAGCTCAAAATTGACTTCAACCTCCTTTTAAAATGGTCGCATGATGCTGGACTTGTATTCAATATTAAAAAGACCAAAGTGATGTATATTCGTTCCAGCCAAAACAGAAGTATTTGGGCACCTAAACTTATAGCACACTGTCATGATTGTCTACATAAGACTAATTACGTTAATTTGACTATTCCTTGTAATTGTGACACCATAGAAAACGTTGAGAAACAAACCTATCTCGGACTAATTATCGACAACCGCCTAAATTGGAAACAACACATAAATCAAGTCTGCAATAAACTAAGAACTATTCTCGCAGAATTCTCATTAATCAAGCATAACATACCATACAAAACACTCCTCCTACTTTATAAATCTTTGGCAGACTCAATAATCTCGTATGGCCTTTCGAGCTACGGCAGGACTTACAAGAGCCATCTTGACCAAATATATGTACTTCAACTTAAAATTTTAAAAGAGATTGTACCACAAAACAAAAAATAAATTTAAGCACGATTACGAACAACTATTTGATTTCTGCAAAATTATTCCTATACATCAGAAAGTAAAACTAACGTTACTAACCGAGGAGTACTTCAACGTAGATCTTCAAAAATACAAAGTGTGCGTTACCCCAGCAAAATAATGTCGAAAATGGTCATTTTAACTTTATAGATAATTAGTTGCTCCCCTTCTGTAATTGTTAGGCACATTTTTAAATTTGTTTCACTTAAACTTTTTTAGTTATTTCAAAAAAACATTTCCTGCTGGGGTAACGTTTGAAACGTTACCGCAGCCAGACATTTTCTTTTTTAATTGTAATATTGAAATAAATTTTAGCTAGATAATTAGTTATCTGGACTAGGTAAATGTTACAACTTATTTGGTATTTGTATTTTCTTCGGCTGCGAAGTTATTCGAAATCCTGCTGGAGTAACGTTTGTGGGTTTGCTGGATCTCTGAAACGGGTAAGCGGATTGTAACCATCTTTTGTACATAACTTCTTAAGGATTAGTTTTAATTTGTTCGACAATAAAATAACAAAAATAATGGACCGTTTAAAAATTATTTAGGTAAGTATGAAAACACTTCAATACGTCCTAACACTTTAAATAAGACCTCTAAAGACTTACTTCAAACGTTATTCTATTGCTTTTAACTACCTTCAAATGTATACGAATTTTCGTAAGAATATTGTAAGTGACTAAAAAGTTATGATGAAATATAGCTATCCACGTTCACGATCACAATGTGTGCGGCCTTTTTTGGCCACCGTTAAACCTGTGTGTGGATATATAAACTGAATGTTATGCCAATAATTAGTTGTTTACTTCAGTTGTCTACCTGTAAAATTTCAGCGTAGTACATATAATAATTTACGAGATAATTAAATAAAAGTCATTAGAAGGTGCAAGACCGTGGTAACCCGACCATGTTTAGGTGGTTACAAAAAAGCGATCACCCAGTACATTGTGCTGGCTTTTAAAATATGTAGGATATTATTTGCAAGTTTACTACTGATATGTACATAAGTGTTACAAAAAACTACATGTTTTTTAAATAATTTTTATTTAGGATTGTTTATTGCATAATTAGTAATCAGCCGGGAGATTAGGTATTGTTTTGAATGCTTTTGTTTTCTCGTAATGTTTAGCTGAATTGTTTATAGTTGTTCATAGAATTGGTACCTGCGTAGTATTTGTTAATTGGAGTTTAATTTTAGGG